TCGGACTTCTTACTGTAAACATTAGCTATAAACATTAAACTAATCGTAAACTAACCCTTCATTAAGTGTAAACGAAAGCCCAAATTCCGGAAACACTTTATCAATGAACAAATTGATTTTTTCATCGAGTTGCTGTTCAATACCTGTTTGCGATTTTTCAACATAATCTGTGTGATTATCTACTGATATGGGCTTCATCTGATCGAATATTATGTTTAGTTCTTTTTTCATTTTTGACAAAATATCGATGAAAGTATTCATTTGTATAAGTAACTGTTCCTCATTGTACCTTCCCTCAATTCTATTATACAATTTTTTGCCATCGAAATTTGTTATTTCAATAAAACTCTTGAATATGATTAGGATTTTCGAAATATGCAAATTTGTGTTCAGAGGAGATGTTATTTGAAAAAATATATTAGCGGCTTTCATGTACTGTATAACTGGATCGCTTTTTTTAACTGATATCACAAAGGATTCAATAAAGACATATTTTTCATTAGGTTTCATTGTCGAATGATAGAGTTCTGATAAAGACGTGTAGTATAAATATAAGTCTCTTAATGTTTTAACAAAGTAAGCGCTCATCAGGTCGTAGAGGAGACGAATTTTACCGTCAATATTTTGCTCGTTGACTTCAATGTCGATCAGACTTTGAAGACCGTATTTCTTTTCATTCACAACAACCATCAAGTCTCCCAAATAAAGTGACCATTTAGAGAGAGAATTTAGTATCCCCTTTGTTAGCGTAATTTGTGTTTGAGGGTCGGGAATTTTATTTAAAACGGTAGTTTGTGACTCCTTTATGTAATTGAAACCCATGAGAAAGTAATCCATTTCTATGAACTCTTTTATTGCATTATTAATCAAAGGGTATAATATGATCATTTTTTCGACTTCGCTGATCTCCTTGTAATATATTTCCTTAAGTTTTACGTCGACCGTGTTCCAACCTACGGTTGAATCGCTAAATTTTTCTTTTAAAAGCGCCGCTGGACGACAGGAGGTTTTGAAAAATTTGATAGCGGTATTTTCTAGTTTTCCGAATTCTATTAAAATATTTTTTAATTTGTCATTAATATATGGATCAACGTTAGTTCCGTCATTAGGTAAGCTGATCAGTTTTTGCAAGCTAATAAAGTGATCCAGGATATCGAAAAAGGCGGTTTTTAACTCGGTTGGCGTAATTAAGTTACTGAAAAACGATAGCGCACTTTTCATGCGCGATACTAAGGTTTCCGGGTTTAATAGCTGTATAAACTTTTGCAGACATTCCCGATGAACGAAAGCGGTCATAAACGTGCATGTTGTGCCAAGTCTGTATAAATATGTTTGATATATTAGATAATCAATAGTGTACTGGCAACTCAGGAAAATTTGGGTACGCCGAATTTTATTAGGTAAGTTTCTGGGTGTTATCAAGAGTTCTCCTTGGTTATTTTTCATAATCACTTCGTGTATGCTTACTAGGTTACGTCTATTTTCTTCGACGATTTCCAGTGGCGGCAAACCAAGCCATCCCGGATAACGCAGAAGTTCAGAAATCTCTTCTTTGGGGTCTACCGCAATCGAATCAGATACCATACTGCTGCATAGTACAAGAAACATCAAACCGCTTAAAAAGCATTTTGTTAACATTTTTATTTTTTGAAAAATTTAAATCACGTGTAATTACGAACTTTGAACGAATTACTGAGAACTGAACAATCCGGATAGTTAACTAGGTATGAAAAATTATTGTACGTGTTGGGCTAGTTTTAAACCTTTACGCATATTATCGCGAATGTGTATAATGAATATATTTTGTGCACAACAACAGTTAAAGTAAACACAAACGGTATGTTTGAGTTTTATTTCGACTACCACTCCACCTCCTCATCCCCACCTATAACCACCACCACCGACCGTATCAGATTGCCGTACCGTGCTGCTTCAACCACTGCCTCTGTACCGATTGTTTTTATTTTCAACGCACCGTTTGTTTTTTTTTGTGCGGCATCGTTTGTCTTTGGATTTTATCGAACACTTATTTTTCCTCCGACTTCATTCTTATACTGAACGACGATTTCTAATATCCATTACGTACTAGACATTCTAAATGTCTAATGAACTATAAACCCACTTCCTCCCTTAACCTAACCCCTCAATGTTGGTGTTATTTTTAATGTTTATTTAAAAATATACGCATCTTGAACAATGACTGAATAGACTATCTTTGCAATTATAATTGTTTGGACAACAAACTGACTCATACAAAAAAAAAATTAACATTTACAACAACATCTACAATTAATTATTAACGGATAACAAAATCAAATTGTAAATAAATATTTATAATTGGAATTGTGTTTATTTTTTTTTGTTATTCTTTTAATAGGTATCTTGAAAACTGTTTATAATATAGAGAGCAACACCTAGTTTACATTGTGAATAGTTTTCAAAATTTAAGTTTCAGGAATAGGTACACATAAAAAACAAAACAAAGAAAAATGTCTTCCTTTTTTGGTTTATCCATGAGAGCTTTTTTGCTGTTCCAAGCTCTTATTAACGTTGGAAACACAAACATATATGTAGTTATAGATTAAAACAAAGTCGAAAGATTTCATAAGCAATAATATTAAAAATGGTACTAATGATATTAAGAATATTTGGAATATTGGACAATTGTTTTATACAACGCTAATCAAAATCGTTGTTTTGCTAGCGAAATATTTCATCCGGGTATAGTGTTTTTTTATACACATTAACGTTCGGTTTTCTTACAAATAAAATTGCCTTCTGCGTCATACTTTAACAAAACTGTATCAATATAGTGTAAATTACATTTTTAAATAATGTGTATTATAACCCTTTATATTTTATTCTACACATAATATTATCCAAATAAATGAATTGTAAATGTTTTTAAAAACAACAGTCCAACTTTTACTATGGTTTAATATAGGGACACGATAAATTTATAATTGGATGAACTAAATAAACAATTGGCCTTACTAAGTATTTACAGGAACAAATTTGTATTAAGCTATTTCAACAACAAGTTTACTGTACCCTCAGACATATAATAACCAAATATTAGTTGGGTCAAGTTTTTATTAAGCCAGGCCCACTAGAAATGTTTTGTACCCTTATATTAACCATACATTTATAATAACCATAAGTTTATTTGGACCAACTTTTTATTTTTGGAAGAGTTACTGATTTACTTAAATTTATAGTGATCACACTGTAAATCTTGTGCCCAATATAGTTTGTTATTTGAAGGGGTTTCTTCATAAGAAACTTATTTATCAATAATTTTTTGATTTAATGCACTGGATAATAATATAATTTTAAATTTTAATTATTTGTTACAAATAATATTAGGAATATTTGGAAAATAAGTGCTTCAACAACTGCCTCTGTACTAATTGTTTTTATTTTCAACGCATTGTTTGTTTTTTGCGGCATCGTTTGTTTTTGGATTTTATCGAACATTTCTTTTTCCTCTGACTCAACTCTTATATTGAACCACCTTTTAATTCAATTTCACGTTCTTCTTCTTGGAATTCCTCTCCTAACGGAGGTTTGAAATCATCATATTAATATGGATTTTCTATTGGGCTGCCTTGAATATTTGGTTATTGTTGATATCAAACCTTTGCCTCAGATTTTGCATCCATGATGATTTTTACTAGGAAAATTAATAATGTGGTAGGTCTTCCGTCTCCTTTCACATCGCAGTGATGCAACCATATCGTTGTACTCAGCTCTGCTTGCATTTCTTCAAAACTAAGCTGTTCCAATGTCATTCATTTTCCGCCTTAGCTCGATACTGATGTAGCTGCTACCCTATACCTGCTAACTTGTATTAGGCACTTGTTGTGTTTCATACCCACTTTAGTGATTTAAAAGAGTTAACACGGCACATTATCTGAGTTTGTAACTCCATGAATACTTTTTCTGTTTTATTATGAACTGGCATAGAATTTTTGGGTTGTTTATACTGTTGATAATTTTGTTCCTTAAATTATACCGACTGATTGTATTATTGACACATAAAAATAAAATATAATATTAGAATAACATTTAATAATAATTGAACATAATGACATTCTTTTACCATTTAAATTCAACAGTTATTTCAGTCTATTCAGGTTTTAGTATCGATGCGATTGTTGGATCCGCTTACACACACACACGTATGTGGTGAATTGGCCACCCTGTCTGTGCCGCCACCACCGGTTTACGGGATAGAGTTAATATAACGCTTTTCGGTACACTCTCGCTCGTTCTTCTGTCCGGTGTGCGCATCGAACGTTTTGGTTCCCGACGCGAGCGCCGATGTCCATCGCCGCCATATTAGCCTTTGCCTCATGGTCGCTAATTAGCAAAAATCATTTGTGTTGTTAATCGTCCTAACGATTCGCGCGTGCCCTTGTACGCATTATAGTTAATCGCCCTAGCGATTCGCCCGGACTACACATAGTCGTGTTTTGTTGAAATCGCCCTAGCGATTCGCTCGTACCTCCGTACGCATTATAATAAAATCGCCCATGCGATTCGCATGCACCTTGGTGCATAATTAGCTCGCCCAGCCGATCGGTGGTGTGTGTGTCGGAAGATTCATGTATGTTGTCATCATCGAATCAACGTCAACCCGTGCAAATAATCAATGGTCGATAAGTACCATCTATTATAATATATTTGTTGTTCTATATTGTTGCGCCGGGTGGCATTAGATTATAAGTATTCTCCCCCCTGTCCCCATTATTTAATAGCTTTACATTAATATTATCATTTGTTAATACATACACTTTTATTGCATTTAATTTCTACATATCTATTTATTGTTTAGTACCATCTTTTATCCATACCATACAGTCCACTTTATCCCCCTTTATCTTAAGAATCCTTTGAAAATTGAACCACGCTATAATCCGACCCAACCCGTCTATAGATATCCGGGCGGTCGATTAAACATTTTGGTCCTTCGGGCCGGATTTTCTTAAAACGTAATCATGTCGAAAAAAGGTGCAAAAACCACGGGTAACAACAAGGCGCTTGTTATCGCTCGGTTATCACGCGATCGTGCGTTAAAATCGATAAAAGAAATATACGCGATCGCGGAAAGGGCGAAAAGTGACCCATCACTAACGCCTGAATTAGAAATTCGTTCTCGACAATTAGATTCCCTTGCTATGCAATTTCGATTACACCAAGATGCTGTAATTGAAGCTTCGGTTGACCGAGATTTGATCGAAGAATTCGAATGCATTGATTCTCCAGTTACTGACGTAATGGAGACGCTTATTTTTAAAATCAATTCAGTTTTAACGCCAGTCACTTCCGCGAGTAACATATCGACACCTATAACGCCTCAACCGCAATACAGTACATATTTACCGAATTTTGATTTGCCTAAATTTGATGGTAGTCCCGAAAAATGGCGATCATTCTATGAACGGTTTGAGTCTTTTGTTTCCGCAAGAAATGTTAATAAAATCGACAGATTTCATCTATTATTATCATGTTTATCGGGTCCAGCGTTAAACACAATAAAGTCCTTCCCACTCTCGGCCGCCAATTATGATGACGCGTGGGGCGCTCTCATAACGCGTTATGAAAATCAACGGCTCTTAGCATCGGTACATTTAGATAGAATATTTTCGTTCAAACCTATTGCTACAGAGTCATTATCCGCATTGAATGGTTTTATTGATGTGTTTAATGATAATGTAACAGCCATAAAAAATCTCGGTGTGGAGGATTTATCGGGTTTTTTATTATTTTATATGGCCGCTAAGGTATTAGACCCAGAAACACGCCGTTTATTCGAAGCCACGGTGACGCAATCTAATATCCCAAACATAGACGATTTAATTATCTTTGTTCGCCAGCGTTGTCGTATTTTAGAGAACATTAAGGGCTACAATAGCGTTAATAAAAATAATTCTAACAAAATATATACACCACCAAAGGCTGTATTAACCGGGACCACCGGATCACCGAAAGTTTTTAAAAAATGCCCATTTTGCTCAGACTCCCATCCGGTATATCGGTGTAGTGTTTTTCGATCATACGCAATAGAAAAACGACGCGAGGCCGCTGTCAAAGAAAGTCTTTGTTTTTCGTGTTTGAGTAGCATGCATCGCGCCGCTGATTGCAAATCTAAATTATCATGCTCAAAATGTCAAAAACGCCATCATACTCTACTTCATTCTAACCCATCAAGTATTGAAACTCCAGATACCTCAGAACCTAAAGTTCAAGAATTTTGTGGTTTATCGCAAGCAAATCATACCGTCGTATTAGGTACCGCAGTTATTCGTGCACGTGATAGTCGGGGTAATTATCAGGCAATTCGTATTTTGTTAGATAGTGGCTCGCAGGTGTCGGCAATAACCACTCGTTGTGCATCTCGGCTTGGTCTCACCAGACGCAAATGCTTACGTAGTATTAGGGGCCTTGGAAAAAACCCTGTCACTGAAGTAAATGGAGAAACGAGTTGTTATCTTTTACCGCGACAACAATTGGAACCGTCCTTTTGTTGCAACGATGTCATAATACTACAGCAAATAACAACGACCATGCCTACATCACCGTTGCCTTCCGCCGTCCGCGAGTGCTATAAACATCTATTGTTAGCTGATCCCACATTCGATACACCCGCGCCGATAGACATGTTAATAGGCGGTGACTTATTCCCACACGTAATGCGGCCTCGTGGCGGCATCATACACCACAACGGTTTGCCGTCCGCGATAAACACACATTTTGGCTGGATAGTATGCGGTTCATTGCAAGAACAAAGTACCTCACCTGTTCATTCTTTATCAGTGGCATCAGTAAAATTAGATGACCTTATGCGCTCCTTTTGGGCTATAGAGGAAGCCGCAACACCAATTGAGTCGATAACGGAAGAACAACGATGTGAAGAGTGGTTTTCAAAAACAACTACGCGAGCAAATGATGGTCGGTTTTGTGTAGCACTTCCATTTCGCGATTCCGTTTGTCTTCCTAATAGTGTCAACCAGCCATTTGACACAGTGCCGCCGTATCACGGCCTCGGTAATTCACGCGCGGTAGCTCTAAAGCGATTTTATAATTTAGAAATGCGTTTGATTAAAGACCCTGCGTTGTACGCCGAATATCGTGCTTTTATGGCCGAGTACGCCGCCCTTGGTCATATGAGACCGGCTACTCAGTCTGGTTATTATTACATACCGCATCACGCCGTAGTGAAACGCGATGGAGAAAATATTGATAAATTACGTGTGGTGTTTGATGCGAGTGCCGCCACATCAACCGGGTTTTCACTGAACGACGTATTATTAGCGGGTCCTAAACTCCAAAACGATATTTTTGACATTCTCCAAAAGTGTAGGCTTAAGCGCTATATGTTGACCGCCGATATCACAAAAATGTATCGCCAGGTACTAGTGCGTGACTCAGACCGCCGGTATCAGTATATTTTATGGCGGGACTCAGTTGAGTCCGAGATTGTCGAATATGAGCTATGTACAGTTACATACGGAGTTACGTCCGCTCCATACCTCGCCATTAAATGCTTAAACGAGTTGGATGCTCAAAATGGGTCCGATTTTCCTGCTGCTAAGGGTGTATTGACCAAATCCACTTACGTCGACGATATTGTAGCCGGCGCTGACACCGTTGAGGAATTGTTAATAATTCAAAGCGACTTGATAGGACTTTTAAAGACGTGTGGCTGCTCTCTCAAAAAGTGGACGAGTAATTCGCCTCAAGCACTTCGACAAGTAGACTGTGCTGATCACTCAACGCTGTTGTTTTTAGACCCAAAAAATGATTCGGCCGTAAAGGTGTTAGGTATGCATTGGGACCCTACTTCGGATATGTTTGCCTATCATACTAATATTAAATCTGATCGTCCTTTCACAAAACGCAAGGTACTCTCTACAATCGCCAGACTTTTCGACCCTATAGGCACGCTTGGACCTATACTCTTATGGGCAAAGGCTTTTATGCAAAGGTTATGGCAAGCGAGTCTTGAATGGGACAGTAATTTACCAGAGGACTTAGATAAGTTATGGGGTCAATTTGTAAAAGAGTTGCCGTCAATCGATAAAATAATGTTGCCTCGACATATCGACATGCGCGTGTATTCGAAAATTGAATTAGTAGGATTTTCCGATGCCTCGCTACGTGGCTACGCGGCCGTTGTATATTTGCGGGTGGTAGACAGTTCCGGTCATGCCACGGTGAATTTCGTCACCTGTAAGACCAAAGTAGCACCAATCAAAACCACTAAATGTCAAACTTCAGTACCGCGCCTCGAACTCTGTGCTGCTCTATTACTCGCTACTACATTAAATCGCGTAAAAACCTGTCTAGACATTGATATTTCAAATATTTATGCGTGGACCGACTCTACGGTAGTATTGTCGTGGTTAACGGTCAGCCAAAAATCATTTAAAGTATTTGTAACGAACAGAATCGCAAAAATACAACAATTATTACCGGATTGTAAATGGTCTTATATCAATACAACCGATAACCCGGCGGACCCGGCATCGCGTGGTTTATTACCCCATGAAATGGTCTTGTGTGACATTCACCGAGAGGGTCCGACGTTTTTACGATTACCTGCTGAACAATGGCCGCGACATAAGTGTGACCTATTAAAGCCGGAACAATTACCAGATTATCAACAAAGGGCCGTAATACTTATTAACGCTGACAATGAAACCGCCGCCGATCAAATTATACACCGTTTTTCTTCGCTAACCCGTATGCAAAGGACGCTCGCCTATGTATATCGTTTCCGCTTTAAGCCTACACCGACCGGCCCTCTGTCATTTTCCGAACTTCATTATATTTTAAACCAAGCTGTACGGTTGACTCAACAAAGATATTTTAATGATCTCAAAAGGCAATTAATAAGTCGATTTGTTGTTACACCTGCATCTTTGGCCCAATTATCACCATTCATTGATTCGGACGGACTTATACGAGTTGGTGGCCGCCTTCGCTACGCATCGCTTGACGCAGACGCAAAACATCCCGTTCTACTACCTAAAACGTCACACTTATCTGAACTAATAATCAAGCATTACCATCAGGGATATTTACATGCCGGTCCAAAATTAGTTTTATCAATGATGCGACGTAAGTTTTGGATACTTTCCGGTCGCGATGCGGTAAGACATTTTATTTATACGTGTGTCCCATGTATACGTCATAAGGCCAAACACCCTAATCCATTGATGGGCAACCTGCCACTAGCGCGCGTTCAATCCACCCGAGTGTTCATGAACGTCGGCATGGATTATGGAGGTCCCTTTATAATCAAAGAAAGTCGCCGTCGCAATGCCCGTACACAAAAATGTTATTTGGCTTTATTTATTTGTATGGCCGTGAAAGCCATCCACTTAGAAATCGTGTCTGACTTATCAACGGATGCTTTTCTAGCCGCGTTAGACCGCTTCGTCGCCCGCCGGGGTATACCCAATAACATATATTCAGATTGTGGCAGTAATTATATCGGAGCAGCGCGTCAATTAAAAGAACTTTTTAATGACATTAATACGCAATCGGCTGTTATGACTCGGGTACCGTGTCAATGGCATTTTAACCCACCTGCCGCGCCGCATATGGGTGGCTTATGGGAAAGCGCTATAAAAAGTACAAAACATCACTTAAAACATGTTATTGGTCAACAAGTTTTGACGTTTGAAGAATTGCATACTCTCGTTACACGCATCGAAGGCATTCTTAACTCGAGACCATTATCGTCCTTATCGTCCGATCCGCATGATCTATGTGCCCTAACACCGGGTCATTTTTTAGTCGGCCAACCAATAATGGCCTTACCGGAGAAGGATTTTACAAATGTCAAAACCAACCGTCTTCACCGCTGGGAGCTCTTAAAACAGCTACATCAATCGTTTTGGGTACGCTGGACAAAGGAGTACTTGAGTACATTACAAGGCCGTCTCAAATGGTACAGTACAACGCCAAACTTATCAATTAACGACCTCGTAATCGTTGAAGCTCCAAACCGTTCGCCTACCGATTGGCATCTCGGGCGCGTAATTGAGGTCCATCCCGGTTCCGATTCGATCGTCCGTACCGTAACTGTAAAAACGCAAAATGGAGTTATTAAACGGCCAGTAGTAAAACTCGTCAAGTTGCCCTCTTCTTAATCCTTTCCTAAAACTTTCCTGGTACATTAAAAAAAAAGTATTGTAATAATTTTAAGTAATAATTTTAAGTCAAAAGCTAATTTAATATCACCTATTGATCACGTGAAGAACGTGGGATTTTGAAAGCCTTCAGCTTTCAACGCTGGGAGTATGTTGGATCCGCTTACACACACACACGTATGTGGTGAATTGGCCACCCTGTCTGTGCCGCCACCACCGGTTTACGGGATAGAGTTAATATAACGCTTTTCGGTACACTCTCGCTCGTTCTTCTGTCCGGTGTGCGCATCGAACGTTTTGGTTCCCGACGCGAGCGCCGATGTCCATCGCCGCCATATTAGCCTTTGCCTCATGGTCGCTAATTAGCAAAAATCATTTGTGTTGTTAATCGTCCTAACGATTCGCGCGTGCCCTTGTACGCATTATAGTTAATCGCCCTAGCGATTCGCCCGGACTACACATAGTCGTGTTTTGTTGAAATCGCCCTAGCGATTCGCTCGTACCTCCGTACGCATTATAATAAAATCGCCCATGCGATTCGCATGCACCTTGGTGCATAATTAGCTCGCCCAGCCGATCGGTGGTGTGTGTGTCGGAAGATTCATGTATGTTGTCATCATCGAATCAACGTCAACCCGTGCAAATAATCAATGGTCGATAAGTACCATCTATTATAATATATTTGTTGTTCTATATTGTTGCGCCGGGTGGCATTAGATTATAAGTATTCTCCCCCCTGTCCCCATTATTTAATAGCTTTACATTAATATTATCATTTGTTAATACATACACTTTTATTGCATTTAATTTCTACATATCTATTTATTGTTTAGTACCATCTTTTATCCATACCATACAGTCCACTTTATCCCCCTTTATCTTAAGAATCCTTTGAAAATTGAACCACGCTATAATCCGACCCAACCCGTCTATAGATATCCGGGCGGTCGATTAAACAGCGATAGTTGAGAAGGTATTGGTTTTGTCATGGTGTGTTTGTTTACTTTGGTGGATCAAAAGTAGTAAAAGAAAGTTTCTTCTCGTTGCACTTAATAGGTTAGGTAAAATTTTACGGCATTCCGATCATCCAAACATATCAATACAAAGTGGTTCTCAATTGACAGAAATTGTCATAATGCTATAGCAGTTATGCCCACCAAAGTTTATATTAAGCCAGTCCTACTAGAGTTTTGTACCCTCATATTAACCATAGTTTTAGTTGGACCAACTTTGTATTTTTGCAAGAGTTACCTATTGTTTTACTTAAATTTATAGCGATGATAAGGTACAAATTGTGCCCAATTTGTTATGTAATTTGTAATTATTGTGTTATTCGACCATATTTTTTTATTTGAACGGGTTTCTTTACAAGAAACCCGTTCATCAATGATTTTGTGATTTAATGCTGTGTATAATAATATATCTAACATTTTGACTTATTTGGTACTAAAAATGTTAGAAATATTTGGAATATTGGACAATAATTTTATACAACGCTAACCAATATTGTTTTTATGCTCGTGAAAAATTTATTCGGCGCTATTGTTTTTTTAACGTTCTGTTTTCTTACAAATAACATTGCATTTTGCGCCATACTTTAAGAAATCTGTTTATATAAAGTTTAAATAACATTTGTCAAATAATATATATTATATCCATTTAAATTTTATCGACACACATTAGTTACCAAATTAATTAATTGAAAACTAAAAATTAAATATATAAAAAGAAAAAAGGTGTTTTTCCTTATTGAATTTTTTGTCCTACTTTTACTATGGTTTAATTTAGGGACACGATAAATTTCTAGTTGGAAGAACTAAATAATGAGTTGGCCCAACTAAATATTTACAGAAATAAATTATTATTGACATATATCTAACATTTTGACTTATTTTGTACTTATTTGGTAATATTAATATATTAGGGATATTTGGAATGTTGGACAATTAATTTTTACAACGCTAACCAAAATTGTTTTTTTGCTTGCAAAATATTTATTTGGCGCTAGTGTTTTTTCATACACATGAACGTTTCGATTTCTTACAAATAACATTGCCTTTTGCGTCATACTTTAATAAAACTGTATAAATAACATTTATAAATAGTTTATATTATATCCCTTTATAATTCTATTTACACATAATGTGTTCCAAATTAATTAATTGAAAATGTAAAAAAAAAAAATTAACAATGGAAATTAGTTAAATAAAAATAGTTTCTTATTGTTATTGAATTATTTGTTTAGGTTCAACATATTATAGTATACATCATATACTTTTACTATTGAATTATAGACCACGTTCCTATACAGAAAAATATACATAGTTGGGCAAACTTAAACTGTGGGAAAAAATTAAGGACATGATAAATATCTAATTGGAAGAACTAAATTTGCCCAACTAAATGTTAACAAATTTGTATTTAGTTATTTCGTTTACAAATTTTGTTTTACCCCTAATCCCTATAATAACCAAACTTTTTATTGGACCAAGTTTTTATTAAGTCAGGCCCACTAGAAATGTTTTGTACCCTTATATTAACTATAGTTTTAGTAGGACCAACTCTGTAATTTAGGAAGGTTTTATTATTTACTTAAATTTATAGCGATCACAAAGTACATCTTTTGCCTAATCAATTTTGTTGTTTGAACAGGTTTTTCCATAATAAACTTAAACATGAATAATTTTCTGACTTGACGCTCTGTATAATAATATATTTGACGTTTTGATTTATTTAGTTAAAATTGGTAATTTTAAGGTAATTTTTAGGAAAAATATCAGAAATATTTGAAACATTAATTAATACATCGCTAACCAAAATAGTTTGTCTTGCTAGCGTAATATTTTTCCGGCTATAGGGTTTTAAAGAAAAGCATCAAATCGTTTATTTGAATGTGATTTTATCCGAGAGGACTAGTACAGAAGAGCTATACTCTATAATGGAATCAAAGTATAGAGGGGACGAAGAGGTCACAGGTCTATAGAAATATATTATAAATGAAAGTGATACATCTGTATAAAATCACATTTAAATATACGCTTTGACGATTATATTGTGTAAATATAGCACCGTAATTTAATACTTTTTAACTTTGCTTTTTTACACTGTGCTTGGTGTCCTTACACTGTTGTGTCGGGCCAATGCATTGTGTCTTAAAGTATTGTCGTTATCAGAATTCATACCTAGGTTCAAGAAAGTATTTTCCAAGCTAACTGATTAACTGTAGTGTGAATGCGTTAAGCTTTCGTGGATTGAAATTCCATTTTGCTGATTTTCAGTTATATCCACGTTAGTATTTTTAGGTCGACGTTTCGAACTCTG